AAACATGTTTTGTGGTAAATTCTCAACCGGAACACCACAACATATGAATTTATATTTCCCATGCTTTGTTAATATTATCATAATCAAGTGTAACCAGAACTTCAAGAATAGAGGCCATTTCAGTTTAGTGAATTCCTTGTAATGGTGGATTCCTTAGTGATAAGAGTTATTTACCCATTGACAGAATTCTTTGAGTAAAATAATTTGTAAGATGATATGTACTAATTGAATAGACCCTTATAACAATATTTCCTTCATTAAAGAAGCCCTTTTAAGATTGACAGGCATTCCTTAATAGACACACAATTTTTACGGTGTGAGTTTTGGGGTGTGTGTATGTGTGTGTGTGATCATATTTAACAATTATCAAATACTATGGTGATTTATAATTAAAATATTAATTTCATAGTCATTTTACTTATAGTCTCTGGAACATGATATTGACATATAAAATAGTATTTAAAAACTATAGTGAAATATATATCTATATCTTACCCTCTTTGTTAACTCTAAACAATTGTGAAACATGAAATAATAATCCTGTTGAAGCAAAGCAAACTGCAACATAATTGATAATAATTTCCTTGCCCAGGTTAAAAATCATAAGTATAAAAATCTAATATGTAATACTTATTTTATGTGCAGGAATCAGGTATGAAGAAGGATATTTCTAAATATTCAGTTCAAATAGGAGCAGCTCGGTTTCAGTTAACACACATGGGTCCTTACTTATTTCGAGAAGAAAGGAGTGATCCAGATCCCAGGGTGCATCGCTTTATACCAGACACATGGCAGGTATTTACTGAAAAAATCTGTAGTCTGGAAGAGTGAAGAAACTTGTTGGAAACAGTTGGCTCACATCTCATTGTGTGTGTGACAGATTTTGGATATGTAAACCATTATAGAATGCAACATAATAACAATGAAAATAAACCATGTTTTGACCTAAGAGATAAAGGAACACAGAAAAGAGTCAGTTGAAATTAATAAAAAATATATTGGTTCTATTAAATGATAGAGCCAGTTAGTCCATTCTTAACTACTACATTATACTGTTCTTAACTACTACATTATATAATTACATATATATATTAATTTCAAATCTAAAATGTGGTGCCTCATGTTTAATGGTATATATTTGGCAAGAAAATGGTTATTCCCTTATGCGTCCGCCATCTTGAACACTGTTGTGTCTCAGAAGGAACTGTGAATTCTAAGTTACCTTAGATATAGTTGTTGTTAAATTAAAATTTGACACTATATATGTTATTTTCAAAATTAAATATGATTTTTCTCTTACCTAGAGGGAGCTTCTTGATGTTGTAGATAATAATGAATCTGCTATAATTGTTGCCCCGACTTCATCAGGGAAAACCTATGCTTCTTACTACTGCATGGAGAAAATCCTGAGAGAGAGCGATGAAGGGGTGGTTGTGTATGTTGCTCCAACAAAGGTATTGTGTCCACATGACACTATATATCTCACAGTAATTTTGCTGACCTGTAGTCTGTGCCTTTAATCATAGGGAGGTACCGCAATATATAGGCTCCAGCATTGCAGTCATGGATTTGAGGGCTTATGTGTTGTGCAATCATGAGCCAGTTTTTTTACCTTAGTTTTTCTTACCTTAGTTTTTCTACCTGTAAAAATAAGATAATAACCTTACATTATACATTAATCCTCACTTATCCATGGTTTTGCTTTCCATGTTTTCTTTTTACCCATGGTTAGCCATGGTCCAAAAATATTAAATGGAAAATTCCAGAAATAAACAAATCTTATGTGTTTAATTGTGTGCTGTCCTGAGTAGCATGATGAAATCTTGCACCGCCCTGTTCTGTTCCTCCCTGGAGGCGAATCATCCCTTTGTCCAGTGTATCTGTGCTGTATGCACTTCCCACCCATTGTTCATTTAGCAGCCTTCTCAGTTATCAGTTCAACTCTTGCAGTCCTTGTGTTCAAGTAACCTTATTTTACTTAATAATGACTCCAAATTCAAAAGTAGTGATGCTGGCAATTTGGAAATGCCAAAGTGAAGCCATAAAGTGCTTCCCTTAAGTTAAATGGTATGTATGGATAGGAAAAACAAAACAAAACACAATACTGTATATATAAGGTTTGCTGCTATCTATGGTTTAAGACATCCACTGGGCATCTTAGAACATATGCCCCGTGGATTGGGGGGGTGGGGGGTGGGCTACTGTACTTTATTTTAAACATTAAGTGATATGATATATGTAAAGCATCCAATATACTGTCTGGGCAAAAACAATGATTAATAAGTGGCACCTGTCACTCTTATTTTTTAGTCATTTTATTGCTTAAACCTCCTTAGATCCGGTACTTATTAAAAATCAGGATTTGACACTTTTGAGAATTTTGCTAAAAGAAACCATTTGATATTTGTGCCAGTGTTAAGAGAGTATAGACAAGTTCATAACAGAGAGGAAGAGGGAAAAGCAGCTGTGTTCTCAGTTTTGCCTTCCTCTTGTTTGGATAAATGTTCTACGAATAACCCCTAATTATTGCAAGTGCTATAGACGTCTTCCTTTATAGCATCCTGTGTAAAATAAAGTCAGTGGTCTTTTGGCTAAGTCAGAATTTTTCTCTTTATCTAGAAGGGACCCAGGGTATTCTTCCCTCTCTCTTTCCCTAGGAGAATAGTTAATTGCAGGCCTTAAAGATGCACTGAGAGAGGAAATTCAGAATACTGATTTTGGGAGGAATCATCTCTAATCTATGACCCAGTCCTCTCACTTTACAGATGAGAAAACAGAGGCTTAGTGAAGCTAAGTAATGTGCCTATCATTGGAGAACCAATTACATTTTTAAATAAAAAATCATCATCTGATTTCACCTGTACAAATATATATCACATTTAGGTGGCATAGATTGTTGTTTGCTATTTCTAGCTATCACATTAATAAGCAGTGTGATATATTATACATTAAGACAACTTTAAAATGGAACCAGTGGGAAGAATTTGGTACAAGTAATTTTCTTATTAAGAAAGAGTTGTATAAAATTGGTACTGCAATTTCTTGCATGTAAATTTGTTCCAGATGTTAGTTAACTTGAAGTAATTTTTTCAGTATTTTAAATAATTACTGCATAGCAGATTATGTCTTTTATGATTTAAGGCTCTTGTTAATCAAGTGGTGGGAACTGTCTGCAGTTTATTTACCAAAGCACTACCCAAAGGATTAGTGGTGTGTGGAGTTTTTACAAGGGATTACCGTCATGACACCTTGAATTGTCAGGTATGTCGCACACATGCACACATAATAAAAATAATGTATATGTATATTAGGGCACTTTGATAGGCACTTCAAGGTTTTAATGTCAAGATAAATTCATAATTATGTTGACACATATTTATATTTGAATGTATTGTTTATATTATTTTTCTTATTTAATAATTTGATTAACTTTCAAATAATTACCGTATTTTGCCGTGTATAATGCACACTCACATTGTTGGCCCAAATTTTCAGGTGAAAAATCTTTCTTTTTAATTTCTTAATTGAAATTTTTATTTGTTTATATTTAGGTACTTGGTTTTTGTATTATGAAAGAATTTTAGCATTTATTTTTTCACACGTTATTGTGTAAGAAATTTAATGTAACAAATAATTACAAAACACAAGAACACATACAGGTAAAAGAAATTTTATGTACCAGTAACCAATTTATGTTATTTACACATCATTGAAGACCAAGAACTCATCATCGTTGCAAGTTCATCATAAGTTCAACAAAACCAATTATTGTATACCAGGGTATTATTTTGCATACAGATATAGTTATTGATTTCTAGAGTTACACTTTTAACTCATAAGCATAAATTAAAAAATTGAAAAAATTTATATATATGGAATTAGTATTACCCATGTATAATGCACATCCCTATTTTTTTCCTCACAAATTTTGGGGAAAAGTGTGCATTATACATAATAAAATACAGTATATTTTCTATACAAAGTAGAATGATTTTCTTTTCTAAAATTTCAGCAGGGGGAAGCAGTTTCCTTCAATGCTGCTGGTTTCAAACTCTGATGATTTTATATTCCCAATGTACTGTGTGGGAGAATATGTATTAATGAAATAAGCTTAACTCCTTTTTGATTTGCCAGCAGCAACCTACATCTGTTACACAAAATTGTTTTATTTTTCCACAAATGAGATGGTTGTTTTAATGGAAAGGACAATATAAACGTATTGTGTTACCCAAAATATTTTCATTAATGTCTAACAGTTAAAGTTTGATTTTTAAAAAACAAATCAAGTCAATGGTTCCCTAATTTTTAAAAACAGATATTGGTGACAGTGCCTCAGTGTTTGGAAATCCTCTTGCTATCACCTCATACACAGCAGTGGGTGAAAAGGATAAGATATGTCATATTTGATGAGGTATGCTATCTTTTATTATCATTATTCAAATTAGTTTTATGTATATAAAACATGTACCTTAGGTATTTTAGTAAAGATGGTGATCATATAGATAGTTATTAAAATAAATATTCCGTTTATGAAAGAGGTACTTGGTAATAGATCTGGAAGGAGTTGGAATGGGCAGGTAGAAAATAATTCTAGATTAAGAGTGCTAGCAGCAGAGAAAAAGTATCCCAGAAATCACTGGACACACCAATGACTAGTTGGCAATAGACATATTTTTCTTTAACCAAAAAACTTTTATCATACTGCACTATCTTTTAAGAGGTACTTTTCTATTTTACCTATTTACCTATCACTGGGTGCATTCATGGCAAAATTAGTCATGTTTTCTCTATTCCTGGTTTTAAAAATGCCTCATACTTCCCAGCTAGCAGGGGTCAGCTACATGCGGCTCTTTTGGTACTTTCATCTCAAAAGTTTGCCGAGCCCTGGAAGAGCCAATCCTGTCCCTCACAACAATTTAAAAATTATTCAAGAGCCATAAATATATTTTTACATAATAACCATTATGTGAATAATGTCCTTTAAAAATTTTATAAATGAAACTATGATAGTTTTGGGGGTTTTTTTCATTTTCAATTTTACTTCAGAGGCTCTCGAGCCACAGTTTGCTGACCCCTGGTAGCTAGCTTTAATTTGATGAATAACACTAGGAAGGAAATAAAGAACAGAATAAAAACATGCAAATAAAACAAGCAAATAGACTAAAATAAATAAAATAGGCAGGCTGCAGATTTATGAAGATGACACATAATTTAAACATTAATTTTGAGATACATGTATGTATTAATTTTCTGATACATGTATGTATTCTTTTCTAATACATTAATGCATTGACAGTTTTGCATTAATCTTAAAGTACTGCTTTAGAAACACTTGAAACATTTCAGTTTTTTAATCATTCAGTTTAAAACACCTTATTTAGTTTTGTTTCAGTGTTATTTAGAAGTATATGTCTTAATTTCCAATTTATTTTAAACTTTCTTTTTGGCTTATATTTCTAGCATAGTTATATTTAGGTCAAGAATATATCCTTATATTTTTCATCCTTTGAAATTCAAATTGATAAATAACTTTCATGTCAGTGACACATGTTGAGAAAATGAGATAAACAAGCATTTTTTTTTCAGATTATTATTTTTTTTATTATTATTTTTATTGGGGTATTGGGGGGAAGGGAACAGTGCTGGGGAATTGGAGGAAGGGGAACAGACAAGTTGCTGTTGTTTTGTTCTTCAGTCTAGTTGTGGAGGACGTTGCTTCACTGGCCCAAGTCGGCACCATCATTGCGCTCTTCCCGGGTGAGGCAGATCAGTCGCCGGCTTCTGGACAGCCGCTCACTGCGGCTGCTCGCCACTCACGCTGGCTGCTGGCTACATACAGTAGCCCATGGCAACCCACTGCCACGGGCTGCAGCCTACGCCATCGCCAGCGACTCACAGCAGCCCATCTCCAGGTTGAGCTGTTGTTTAGCATATTAGCTGTGGAGGGCAGTGTCACTGGCCCTCATATATGGGATCCGAACCCGGGGCCCTCTGGCATCCCAAGCCAGTTCTTAACCATTGTGCCACTCGGCCGGTCCTAAAAAAGCATTTTTAATAGCATTATAATAGCATAAAATTTATGAAATACTTTGGAATAAATCTTTTAAAAAATGTGCAAGACATTTATAAAGAAATCTTTAAACTTTACTGAGTGGTATTTTAAAATAATTTTTAAAAACAGTCAAATGGATAGAGATACCTAGGGAAATGGTCCATATTGTTATATTGGAAAATTCAATATTATGATTGTAACTGCCCTGATTATGATTATAATTATGATAGATCATTTTGGACACATATTATTAAGTCCCCAAGTTGTCCTATATATTCAGTGCAATCACAATAAAACCCCAGAGGACTTTTTTTTTCCCTTCAGTGATATTTGTGTGAATGTGTGCGTGTGTGTGTGCACATTTGTATATTGGAGGGAGGGAGTTGATTACCTGATTGTGAAATTTTCATGGAAGTTCAAAAGGAAAAAGTTACCACAGATATATTTGAAAAATATTAAAGTAATAAGAAAGATACATTTGAAAAAGAAGATCAAGGTGGACAAACTTGCTCTATCAGGTATCAGGATTTATTATAGGCCTATTGTAATCAAGTGACATTTTTTGAAAGAGGGATAAACATATGGACAAATGGGACAAAAAACCCAGAAATAGAACCACATATAGACACCTTATTTAAGAAAATTGTGGTACTGAAAACAGTATTAGAAAAATTAACAGTCCATATGGGAGATAAATGAAATTAGATCACTTCCTCACATCCATCATACACAAAATCAATTTCAAAAATGGTTTAAACACATAAACATGAAAGGAAAATGAATGAATATAATATCTGAGGACAATATCTTCATTACTTAGGAGTAGAAAAAGACCTCTTAAACACAAACCTGAAAAGCAGAAACTATGAAAAATAGATTAATAAATTTGACTGTATTAAAATCAAGAGTTTTTATTCATCAAAATATATCATTAAGAGAATGAAATTACAAGCCATTGAGTGGGAGGTATTTATAATTTATAACTGGCAAAGAATTCTGTACTTATATATATAGATATATAAGTACAATGAAAACCAAGTCATAATTTTTGGAAAACAACATTGTAACTATCAAAGGACTTCTGAGGTGCTGGGAATATTTGTCTTGTTTTATGAGGGTATTTCCTTTACTTGGTTAATCTGAATAATACTTAATATAAAAGTCTATTTTTATACAATTTATTGAATATTTCATAGTGAAACAAAGGTTTAAAAATAATACAAAGGTTGATTTAGAGATAAATAATCATATTACACATATTGCCATACATAAAATTCTAATAGCTACCATTATGTTAATGTTTACTATGGATATTTATTCTAAACAATTTCCAGTTATAAAGCTACTAGCTCTTTAGAAAAACCCAGTAAAGTAGTTACTATTATTATGGCTACTGAATTGAGACAGAGAGATTAACTTTCTCTGATTCACCCCATGTTAAGTGGCAGAACCAAGATTAGCATGCAGGGAGCCCGCTTTCATTTTCTGTGCTTTTTAATGCAGCACAGACATGAAAAGCTATTTGTACATGTAAAAATATGAGATTAAGTGTCCTCAAACATAACAATGAAGTAAAAAAACTGCAAAATGTTTATTTTAAATCTTATCTTTTACATCTTTGGTTGAAATACTAAAAAGAGCCTTCTTACCAAGTTTCACTTCATCATTATTCCACATTCATCCCTAGTTTATCATTCTTTGGCACTTCAAACTCATGCACACTTTCTTAAAATAACCTTTTTATCAATATACTTCTGATGTCCTTTACATGTTTTTTTTTTCTTTTTTCTCTCTATTTTGACTAAAATTTTTTTTTTTTTTTTTAGCTGAGCCATCCTGCTACCTGTTGGCAGCTCAGTGGCTGCTCAGCTTGGGGCTGGACTCAAACCGCTGTTGCTCAGAGCTCAAACTCTTGAGTGAGCTCTTAACCAACTGAGCCACTCGGCCGGCCCTGACTAAAATCTTTTTGAAAGTTACTCTTTACCTCTCTACAGTGCCTGCCTCAGGAATAATCAGAAATAAAGCGTAAACATAGGACTTTTTTTTTCCAGATTTTTATTGAGGAATTGGGGGAGGGGAACAGTGTTGGGGAATCGGGAAAGGGGAACAGACAAGTTTCTGTCCTTTTGTTCTTCAGTCTAATTGTGGAGGATGTTGCTTCACTGGCCCATGTTGGTATTATCGTTGTGCTCTTCCTGGGTGAGGCAGTCACTCGCCGGCCATTCGACAGCCGCTCAACGGAGGCTCACGGCAGCTCATGAAAGCTCACGCCAGCTGCTGGCCAGCCCCACTGTAGCCTACGCTGTTGCCAGCGACTCACAGCAGCCCAGCTCGAGGTTGAGCTGTTGTTCACCATCTTAGCTGTAGAGGGCACAGCATCACTGGCCCTCATGTGGGATCCGAACCGGGGCCCTGCTGCTCAGAGCTAGCATCTCTTAACCAATGTGCCACTCAGCTGACCCAAACATAAGACTTTTGAAATTGAGGTTTTTTTTCTTTTTTATTATTTAAAATACAGGGTAAAATATACATAAGGATCTAATTTTTTTATATAAAAGTTTATTATTAGCTGAGAATTTTGCAGACATTATTGAAAATCAAGCCTTTTAAAGTTGTTCTGGCTTTCATATATTATTATTAATTGCCCATAACATTGTGGCAAACTAATAACCACTGCACTCATCTTGCCTCCATTAACAGTGAGGGGACTAGGCTTTCTCTAGATTTCTAACTAGTGTAGGATAAGTGCTCTCTGTATATTTACAGACTGAACCCTGGAGAAGTTTACTTATTTCAAATTAATTTATTTCATAAATATTTTTATCTGTATATCAGAGGTAGGACTACTGACACATGAATAAATCTGTTGTTTTGATAGAGATATTTCTTCATCTTATCTTTTTGTGGCAATCGCTGTAACTTAGCCAATATTTCATTTGTAAACAAGACTTACAAAATGTGTCCTTTTGCTCAATTTGTTCTTGTTTATAAGTATTATTACCATGGCATGGAATAATCTTTTTTCACATTCAGATATTGTCATGCATGATAGAGCAAGTCATTTTTCAATATGGTATTCTCAAACTCACTTTAATCCTTCTCAAAAATCATGTTGTGATTCTTTGACTGCTTTTGTCAATAGCTGAATGAACATCACTGAATGTGGACAGAGAAGGAATAAGTTCTGGTAGCATAATCTATTAATATTTTGGAGAGGAAATTGTAACTAATTTTATAAAGAGTCTATTTAACCACATTGCCAGGTTCACTGTCTTGGGGGAGAAATTGGAGCAGAAGTTTGGGAACATCTTCTTGTTATGATTCGGTGCCCCTTTCTGGCACTTTCTGCTACTATCAGTAATCCTGAACACCTCACTGAGTAAGCCTGGCTTTTGCATTCATTGTAATTGCTATTACTGGTGATATTAATATTAATAAATAATCCAGTCATACATTATTTAAAATAACCTCTAAAACAAAGCAAAAATGTCTTTTCAGGTAAGACTTATTTTCTTCAAGTTTTATTATATTAAACTATAAAATATTTGTTTTTATCCTTTGATTAGATGTAATTTACATGCTTACATGTTTCTTCAAGAATTTTATATGAGAGGTTTAATTCTTCTGTTTATAGCTTGATATTTTGATTTTCAGAGAATAGTGTAAGGAAGTTTAGAATTATCCTTCCAATATACTATGTACATTACTTTCCTATGCAAAACACCAAAAATATTTTCAAAATGAGTCAACACAAAAAGAGAAATGGATATAACTGCTTTATTGGGTTAACAAATTTTATAAGAAAACCTCAAAGTATCAGATTTTGGTAATTGTATAAAAGTGATTAAACCATGTGAATATAAACATAGTTTTAATATGTTCAAAGATTAGAGAAGATTATTATTCTCTTAGAATTAAGTTTTACTGATTTTTTTCTTAGAAAACTAATGATATTGTAGATTTTTTTTGTGTGACAATAATAACCTTTTTTTTTTTTAATAAATAGATGGCTGGTGTTAATTAAAAGGTACTGGCAACATGTTGAGAGCACAATGGAAAATTCTGGTCCAGCACAAAATACCTTGAAACTTTCAAAGAAACAACAAAGAAAAAGAATAGAAAAGCCATCACACAGAGTTAGACTGGGTATGACTATTTTAACTTAGGAGAAGGGGCACTCAGAATTATTCAGTATACTCTATGTGTTTGTATGATATTAGTGCATCTTATAAAAAATGGTTCTTACTACAACTCTGAAGGGAAATCAATTTTGTTTCAATATACAGAGGAAATTAAGTAAGTAGGAATCTTAGCTACAGGAGATTAAGTAACATGCGGAAGTCCACACAGCTAACAAAGGGTGGATCTATTAAATTTGATTATCAAGCTCTTTTTTTTTTTTTTTTAGATTTTTATTGGGAAATTGGGGGGATGGGAACAGTGCTGGGGAATTGGGGAAAGGGGAACAGACAAGTTGCTGTCGTCTTGCTCCCCAGTCTAGTCGTGGAGGACGTCGCCTCACCGGCCCAAGCTGGCACCATCATTGCGCTCTTCTCTGGTGAGGCAGATCAGTCGCCGGCCTCTGGACGGCCACTCACTGCGGCTGCTGGCCGCTGGCCACACACGGTAGCCCATGGCAATCCACTGCCACAGGGACTGCAGCCCACGCCGTCGCCGGCGACTCATGGCAACCCAGCTCCAGGTTGAGCTGTTGTTCAGCATCTTAGCTGTGGAGGGCAGTGTCACTGGCCCTCATATGTGGGATCCGAACTGGGGCCCTCCGGCATCCCAAGCGAGTTCTTAACCATCGCGCCACTCGGCCGGCCCTGATTATCAAGCTCTTTACGAAGATTATCTATTTTGAAATAATGCAAATCCCTGCATTATTTGGGGTGGTTAAAGATGGAATTGTAGCAAAGATAAATGTTTCACTCCCTATTTTGTAAGATAAAATTAAGGGCAAAAACATTTCTGGAGGGTAGTTCAGTTTTGGTTTGCTGAAAAATCATTGCTTCAAAATATCCTGTTTCACTTGCAGTCTAGTTCTATGCTGTCATTCCTGTTTTGTACCACAGTAGTCTTTTCTTTCATGAATTTTCTTGACATTTGGTCTATTCATTGTTCTTCAAAACTTGCCTTTGCTTTTTAACTCCTTTTTCTGGAATGACCTTTAATCTACACTTGACCAAATTCTATCTATTCATTACTTAAAAGAGATGGTCTAGAGGCACAGCTCAAATACTATCTTGATTCTTTTATTTTAAGTCTCATATTTTGTCCTATGTTATGACATTTTCTACTGTCTATTGTAATTATTTTTATATGCCTTATTTTCCTTGGAAAATGCTAGACATTTTATATATATATATATGTATATATATATGTATATATGTGTGTGTGTTATTATATATATATATATATATATTTAAGTAAATAGATAATATTATATATAATGCATTGTAGATATAACATATTTGTTTATAAACCATACCATGGTCTTATATTTTATATGTACTCTAAATATTTGACTACTGAATTAATGAATGTTGCTATACCTTATATACTCGTGACTGTTTTCATGAGAATTCCATGAAATAGTATAAAATCATATTTTTCTGGCTACTTTCCAACAAAAGGATGCATCTCCCCATACATGACACTCTGCTTTCACTTAACAAATGTTGAAGTGCCTAATATATTCCAGGACCTATTATTGTCCTTAGAATTACAATAGGAAACAAACCCTTTGATTTTCTGGAGCTTAAATTAATGTGGACATAGAGATTAAACAAAATGAATAGTAAATAAAATAAATAGCATGCTAGGTTGTGGTAAGTGCTAAGAAAAAAATAAGACCAAGTATAATATTAATAGAGATATTTGGAATATCAGCTTCTTCGATGAAAGGAAATAAACTAAAAAACAAAAGATACATATTCTTTCTTTGACCAAGTAATACTATTCTTAAAGATAGAGAGATAATATAGTATTAATAGTAACAGTAATACTTAGTGTTCTTAAATAATTGTATGTCTACATACTCTATTTATTTATTCCATGCCCCGTTACACAAAGGCATGCTTTACAAGAATACATGCAGAAAAAGAAATTGTAACATGATAATTAAATACCAGGAACTGAAAAACAGGATAGGACATAGTTGAAGATTAAGGTCAAGGGGAAAAATAAAGCACAGATATGCGGTATAGGTACATTGAGTCCTATTTCAAGGTTTTTCGCAACGCACAGCATTGTTTTAAATGTTTTGTTGGCAATGGATTCAAGCATTGCTCGTTCTAGGCCTGCTCGTGATTGTAAAATCATAATTAGGCCATTGTTTTTGAAAGCAAACAGATCTTAATGATGATTACAATCCTATGTTTACAGTATGGTACAAAGAGCGATACAACGATCTAGAAAAGTATGTGTGTTCCCTAAAGGATGACAACTTTATCATTGAACACTATCACCCGTGTGCTGCACTTACCGTCAGTCATGTAAGTACAAACCACTTTGGAAAATTACTATGTTATCAGGTTGTTAAAAATCTCTATATGGAATACAAAATCAATAATTTTGTTTTTTATGGTTTCTAGATGCAGAAATATGGAATCCCTTTAGACCTCGGATTTTCTCCACGGGAAAGCGTACTACTTTATGATGCCATGGTCCATGTTTGGCCAGAATGGACAAGAGTGCAGGTGTGTGTATATATACATTCTTTGGCAGATATCGCTAGTTCTTTGGCTATGGCAGTCCATTAATAATGAGCAAATTCATGAATGGTATTATTTCTGGTATAGACAAAGGCAGCATATTTCATTGTTAAGAATTTAAACTCCAAAGCCTCAGTGCTCCAGAATTGGGCTAATTAGTGAAAATGTCTATATATCTATATTTTTCCCTGCCCCCCCAAAATAACATCTACTTTATTGGGTTATTATGAAGATTAACTGAATTGTTATTTGTAAAATGCGTAGACTAGTGCCTTGCCATGGTAAGAAAAATATGCATTTTTAAAATTTAAATTTAGATAGTTTTATTTCTTTTACCTCTAAAGCTACCTGCAATATTTAAAAAAAAAATTACTTGTTGGTAGGTTCTAATGAACACAGAATAATAAGCAACCATTATGTAGAGAGCAGAACTCTCAGCCCACATGCAGTTAGCTATGTAGCTGAATATGGACTGCTTGAGAGATTTACTTCATAGTGGTGTATATGGAAAACTTTACAAAGAACGATGACTATTTTCCTTGATATTTGTGGACCTTCATTTTCAAGGAGTTAGAACCTGAAGAATTCAGGTGCTTCAAAAATAAAGTAGTCATCATGAGGGCAGATGCCAAGAAATACGAAGAGGAACTGAAAAAGGAATTGATGCACTGGATTCAGCTGGACCCAAGCAAGGTAGTTAAAGCCACTTAGGATTTATTTAAATTAAAGATTAATATGAAATGAACCTGACTACTTCATTTCGTTTCAGGAGAATCACCCATAAAGCTCTCCAGGGTTTGAAGATTAATACCCCGTTGCTATGCTTTACTATTCTCCCTTAAATTTAGTTACCTAGATGTAGAAAAATGCAAAAACTCATTACTTGGCATCCAGTGTGGACAAACCACACATGCTGGTACCATGTCATTCCTGAATCTACATTTTAGACAATGAAATTAAAGTTGGGCTTTTGCTTTTTATAGAAGAAAGGACTTCTGTGATTTCTGATACCACTAGGTCATTATCCTGATTTTCATCTTGAATATTTCCCCAAAGAAGACCTTTCATCTATTTACTAGTTTGGATAGGTGAATGTCCAGTTTCTTTCTGTTGCCAATTAACTGGATAGATAAGAGAAGTTATAAGTATTTAATTTATCTTCATTACTTTAAGTTCTATTCTTTACTTTTATTATTAGTCTCAGGTGTATAAAACAATGTAACAGTTATAGTTTTTACCCCTCACAAAGTGACAACCCCCTCCCCCAATCCACTGCCCACTCCCCCACTCCCGATATCATACATATATATGTTTTATTATTTGGAGACCAAATAAAACATTATATATATATATATATATAAACCAGAACCTATTTTAATGAGTGATAAATCCTTACATTAGGAAGGTTTACAGAGTGACAGCAGAAGTTTTGAAGTACAGGCAAATTTAGTACAGTGTACATTAGGAAGTCTTGTGAAATGATAATAAGAATAACTCAACTATACTTGGAGGATTACTCAAATATCTCTCTGGAGATTGTTTTATTTGGGCTCCAAATTTTACAGTGTTAATCTCTGACACCAGAAAAGGAAGAAGCAACATGACAAGTTAGTTATTTGGTTTTTAAGAGAAAAATAGGAAATGTTCAGTTCAATTTACTCAGGTACAAGAGACATACATTTTATACAAGAAATATGGACAGTTAAAGCAATGAGACATCATATTTTGAGGAAGGAAGGAAGGGGGTGAAAACTGAGTGTTAATAATATGCCTAATAATTCATTCATTTGTAGCAGCTTTATTAAAAGATTCACATATTGTGTTGTTATTGGTTTAAAGCATACATTCAGTGTTTAAAAATATATTTACAGAGTTGTGCGTCCATCACCATCATCTAATTTGAGAACATTTTCATCATCCCCAAAGGATACCTTTTACCCATTAGCAGTCACTCCGACTTACTCATTCTCTTTCATCCTCTGCCCCCCAGATTTAGGTAACAACTAACCTATTTTCTGTCCCTGTAGATTTGTGTTTATTTTGATTAAAAACTGTCCTGCAGTGAGAAGTTTTATCTAATTGTAGTTTTGATTTACATTTCCCTAAAGACCAATGATGAGTATCTTTTCATGTGCTTATTAACTACTGCTATATATCCTTTGGAGAAATGTTTATGACAACCCTTAGCCTGCTTTTAAAATTGAATTGTCTTTTTTTAAAGATTTTTATTAAAATATAGCTCACATACAATATTATATTAGGTTCAGGTGTGCACCATAATTATTCAACATTTATAGTTACTCAACATTCAACTAAAGAAGTGATTACCATAAGAATTGCTATTATATTAAATAGAGGTTTTCAACACTGGCTGCTTATTAAAAATTGCAGCTTATTAAAAATTCTGATTTAATTGGCCTTTGGAGGGGCTGGGGCACTGAAATTTTAAAACAAAATTCTATGAAACTTTAATGTGCAGACAAGGTTGATAATCTTTGGTCTACCATTGTTATTATCTGGCTTTTAACTCACTGAGATATGCCAGCCTAGATCAAACTTAATTTTACTTAGTTCTCCTAACTTGCCATATCCTAGGAGATAGCTGACCTCTGGGTTCTAATTAGTTTCATCCAATATCCTGTCCATTAGGCACTAGCCTTGTATTTCCTCTCCTTGGAGCTTATAACATGCCTCGTGACAACAAGCTGTGCCATTCATAACATGAAAATCCTCTTCTCATCTATTGTATCTTGTCTAATAATTTTTATTGGGCATTTTACATCCTTTTCACCTAAATTTCCACTTTTAAATGTTTATTTTGCTTAAATTTGTTATTTTAGTTGCTTTGTTAGAAATATTATTTGGAGACCAGTAGTGCATATATAGGGTCAGTTGAATGAATGACTAAATAAAATTATCTCTTAATTTTATTTTTTATGAGGCATCCTTTGGTACAGTAGACTAAATTCTGCTTTTAGGCAATGTTTATGTGGTCAACTTTTTCTCTTGCTATATCATTTTAATTAGAAGGAAGGTTATAAATATTACCTTATCCCAGTAATTTTACTAGATAATCCTGTAGTTGTTTTGCTTTTTTAGTTATATTATTCTTTTGTGGTTTAATTTGGCTTTAATTAACGTTATAATTAATGGTGGGGATGTCAACACACTATGAATTTAGAAACCTCTCAGCAGATATGTAACAAGTAAGTCCTAGTTGACATACTTTAGTTCTAGAGTCAGTAATAATCTTTTTTCTTGTGTTGGCATCTATAATGATTTCTTATCTTTCTGAAGTTTATGGAAGACAGCTTCTTCAGAAAGCCTAATTTTACTATATTTAGGAAGAAATTTTATTGTCAGTCTCATGGTTCAGAATTTCTCTTTTTCACGTTTTCTTTGTATTTTTTCCTACTCCTCTAGTTCATTTTCTTATTCACATTCTTTTCTCCTTTGATTCTCTTGGCACTGAATCTATTTATTATACTTTTCAGAACTTCTTATTCTGGGGTTATTTTTCTGCTTCCAAATCCTTGCCAGCTAATTTTAATGTTTATGTCCTCTCTTGTGTTTATCTGAGATAATTTTTTTTTCCTTTTCAGAAGAAGTAATATTTCTCATGTTCCTTACATGTTGTTATTTTGGAGATTTTCTTCTTTTTTTTTTTAATTTTTGGATATGTGATGAATGTGATGTTGTGAGGATTCTGTTTTCTATTACAGTCCTCTGAAGAGTGGTTTTTAATTTTTTGTTTTTAATTTTCATTTTAGGAGGCAATTAACTTAAACTCAAATTATAAATTTTGTCTTCTGAGTGACAGCTAAAACCTTAATTTTTCATCCTTACTTAGGCCACATGGAGTTTGCGTTGCACACATGTGAGTCAGTAGTTATAAAAATTTGGGCTTAGTTTATTGACAGATTTTAGGAATTTTATTTTCTAGCTCTCTCTTTTCTGGGATTGTCCCCTCATTTCTTAGTGGCTATTGTTCTGAGTTCAATTTACTGTTTCTTCAGACAAAAAGATGGCAGAATGGGGGAGGGGGAGAATGCATCAACATTTTGGCTTCTCTAATGTCCCCAAGCTAAAAACCACGAAACTGGGGTTTTCCACTCATGCTGTTTCCTCCCTGTATCCTCTGCTCCAGAACCTGTCTGCTTTTGTTCATTTTCCGGTGACTTCAGGTCAGCGTTTTGTTGCTGTATTTTTTCCCATAAGTGACGTGTTACCTGCAGGAGGGCAGGGTTCAATAGGAACTCTTTCAGCTGTCACAGAAGCAGGATTCCTACATTTCTCTTCTTGTTAGAGAATTTCTCTCACATTCCTGAAGGATAATATACATTCTAAAGTATTGCCATACCTTTCAGGAAATTTTGTTGGCACTTTTCACATGTACTCACTTATCTCTTTCCACACCATTTCACCTTTAGAATAGACTGTCTACTGATGAAAGCACATCTATTTTTTTCCTCAAAACATTGGGCAATGGTATCATAAAAGAGGCAACTCTACTCATTTAAAGGCAGAACAGGCTTCACCACCACTATTTTCTTTAATATTCTGCTCCCTCTACTGCAGCTAGAGATACTGAGGCCTGGTGAGGGTCATCTCACAGGTCATAGGCCCAGGTGAGGGATGGTTGAATCACCAGGTCTCGGGGAGTGATTAATCTCTACCTTAGAATAGTTGCAAATGGCTCTGAAAGGTGCCTCTTCAGGGTGAGTCAACTGGTAGAGTGGGAGAGATGAGAGGACAGAGCAGAGCTTGTTTGAATTTTTTTATGATATATTTACTTATTATATATAAATTGAGTAAATAAACATAGACTAAAAGGTAAGGGAACATGGAATACATAGTTTGGATCCTATAGTCTCTTATCCCTCCTTGAACTTATATTGAAGTATACACTGCTCAATCCCAACATTTATGTATTATCTGGTTAAATAGTTGATTTGTTATGTCTCTCATGCCTGGGTTCCTAAACACTTGGGGAGCTAGCTGAATTCTGCTTTTAAATAATTTTATTTGTTCACATTTCTTAGTTTTCCCAAGACAGCCCAAGTTTGCATCTGTTGTTTTTAGCCTCCTCAACCCCTCACTCTGAATACTGGTTTGGATGATGAATTTGGAAGAATATATAATCTATGATTTGTATTTATAGAATTTTGACTCTATTTATGTTGAAGTCCTACTTACTGTGTACCCTGTGTTCACCCTGTTAATAACCAACGTGAATTTGTGACAATCTCTGTCCCCTTCCATAAACACTATGCTATGGCACTACATAGACATGATTACAATATTGTAGAAATATATCATTCAACTTTTCTCAGGTTTTAGTTGTATTTTAAAATATTTAGTGCATGGTTTAGGTATAATTCCAGACTTATTCCATTAAAATATACTAAGCCTTACCAATTTAATTTCAGTCTCAAATGTCAACTGACTTTATTATCTTTTCTTCACAATCACAAATATTTTATGATCTAACTTTTACTTATGATAATTTTATTCAGGTGAATCAGTTACTAAACTACCTTAAGCCTGAAACTTTTGACAGTGCAGAATCTGAAAAGCGTAGAATGTTTCCCTGTTTTGTGGAAAAACTTAAAGAAATGGGCAACCTGCCAGCAATATTTTTTTTGTAAGTAACATTTACTTAGAATTATACTTAATGTTGTATCAATTTAAAGACTTTTGAAAAAATAACTGTGGGAGGATATGATAATCTCTGACTCATACTTGTAGAATTTTGAGAAATTTTAACTCTATTTATGTTGAAAACATACTTACAATACCAATCTGTGTATAGGATGAGAGGTAGGAGCATGTCTCATTAAATTATACTCCAAAATCTAATTGTATAGCTTAGTACAGTAGAATTTTCTGGCCTATCACTTATTAGAAAAGTTCTACCGTATTTCCCCATGTATAAAATGCACACTTTTTCGAAAAATTTGAGGTCTAAAAACTGGGTGCATCTTATACAGTGGTTGTATGAGCACAAAAACAAGCGTGAAAAAAGTGGGAAATGCAAGTGAAAAAAACTACAACCACTGTATAAGATGCACCCAGTTTTTAGACCTCAAATTTTTCAAAAAAGGGTGTGTCTTATACATGGGGAAATATGGTATATATCATCAAAGTAAGATAAGGGGAAAAGGATAAAATATAGTGTGCATTTGCCAAAAGAGAGCATGTACACTAACATACATATGCGTAACACATACACATATGACCTCATACTATTTGTTCTGTATGTTGTTTGCAAAAGTGATTACATCTAAACCCTTCACTAAAAAGGAAAAATCTTCAGTCTGCTAGTTTTCTGTTTCTATTTTTTCCGTCAGAGCATTAAAAGAAAAGTCAGCTGGAGCTTAGTAGCAGCATCAAATAATTAACAATCATGTTTTCATTTATACTTAAAATAATGATTTTCCTTTGGAAAATATTTAATAGATCTATATAGATGGAATTATCTCATGTTCAGTTCATTTCACTTTGCTTCTTGGTGCTGGGCCCAGGACTCAGGGATGCAGAAACAATTTGTGACATGACTGCCCTTAAGGAACTGACATCCTTTAAATAGTGATTATTTGTGACCTTGAAACAGTCTATAGTTTAGCCAGTCAACATATAAACAGTTACTTAATATTTGAGTATTCAAGGCATTCTGTAGGTTTAATAGTGAGTATGACTAAGGGCTGGCTGAGTGGCTCAGTTGGTTAACAGCTCGTTCAAGAGTGTGACCTCTGAGCAACAGCGGTTTGATTCCCAGTCCGAGCTGAGCAGCTGCTGAGCTGCCAACAGGTGGCAGGATGGCTCAGCTTAAAACAAAAAAAATAGTGAGTATGAGGAGATATTTGTCACCTCTGGGAACATAGTGGGGTAAAACAGTAAATTATTAATTGTAAATCATAGTCTGTCCCTTAAGGGGTCATAATATGCACTTTAAATAAATGTGCGATAAAGACATTAATGATGTGCTTTAGGTGTAACGAGAAGAGAAACAATACGTAGTCTAAAATGGTCAAAGACATTTTCACAGAGGGCCTGGGTCTCAAAGAGTAGATATCCTAGACAAGGAGGAGAAGGAAGGAAACCTAGATCTAATTTATTTTCTTCTACCTGAAACAAAACAAGATCTTTTGCAAAGCAAACAAACAAATGAAAGATGGATTATGAGCAAAACTTATATGATATGCAGAGAGTGCCAAAAACAAATGTATACATATTTTTAAAAAGGAAAAAACTGTATTAAAATTGTAATACTCAATACATACCAATAACATAAGATGAATACAAGTCATTTGTATACATTCTTTTGGCATCCATGGTATATACATAAAATTATATAGTCTCTCTCTCTCATATATATGATATATAAGATACATAAGAAATGTATATAATATATATATACACAATATATATATAATTGGTGTATATATATACATGATATATATAAAATTGGTATGAACATACAATTATTAAAATTCTCATATTTCTACTTTAGCTACAACATTCATTCAGTGGAAATGTCAGCTTCACGACTTTTTACGAATTTGATAAGTAAACAAAATACTCATAATGATCCAAATTCTGAAAAAGAAAAGAAGATTTTGAGGAGGAAACTATGGAAAGCAACACGGACTCAAAGAAGAAACTGTGCTGTGTGAGTATTTTTACTTGAGTTGTGAAATTTTAAATGTTTAATGAAATGTATGAGCATGAAACTGTTTTTATAATTCAAACTTGTTTTTATGACGTGATGATGTGACTTTTTTCTCTTTCTGTGACACATGAAGTTATCTTAATTATAATTTATTTTTGGTGGGGCATTTAGGAGGATTTTTTGAATATTTTAATAGTTATACAATAATTTACAATAATTTTCTTTGTTGTATTAGTTTTCTTTTTCTTAGAAGTGCAAATTATAGATTTGTTTTTTAGAAATTGCAAGTTTGCAAATTTGCCTAAAATACATTATATACATGTTTTTACTACTTATAAAAGATAGCCATTAAAATATCAAACAACTAGTCAGAACAAGTTCACTAGCACATTTATCTTTTAATATAACAGAAATATGATTTAAATATTTTTATGCCTTTATTGTCTTAACAGAAAGTATACAAATATGTAAAGAAATACCTCTATTTTTGTTTCATTCTAATGTATAAATTAACCTGGGAATCATGATATATGAATTTTGTTATATAATTTTGTTTGATAATAGTTACACAGTTCTCACCCTTGCTCAGGATTCTTTCCTAGCATATGTCCTTACCTACTCTTGGAGGAAAAAAATAATAACCATATTTTTTTTCTTTTCTGACTGTTTCAGGAATATTTCTGGAATGGGGATGGTTATATAGAATAGGTTTGGGTCTTAAGAGTGAAATTGCATGAAGGATGGCTGATACAGGCCTGTTCTAATGGCCCAGCAGGCTGGTCCTTCTTCCTCTGTATTTCATTCCACCCAAGCAGTGATTTATTGAGCAATACCCAAACATATCTCAAGGCTAATTTTGTCACTTACAGGAAAAAAAAATTACAGTGTATATTAGAAAGAAGAGAGTCTGCCAGATAAAATTTTCCAAATACTTCTCAAACTATAAAGAATTTGAATTTGGTAGAAGAGGGTAAAGGGGGTCAAATATATGGTGATGGTAGGAGAACTGACTCAGGGTGGTGAACACACAATGTTACGTATAGATGATGTATTACAGAAATTTACACTTAAAACCTATGTAATTTTACTAACCATTATCACCCCCAAAAATTTAATTAAAAAAAGAATTTGAATTTTTATGCAATTATTAGGAATATGGAATTTTTCCATCAAATTTAGTATCAAAAATATAATTCCACTGGATATAGAAATTAAAAATTTGGTTAGCAAGAGAGATGGGAGAGATGCAGAAGGTTTTCTATTTCCTGTCAAATACATCTTAATGCATACATTTAAAATATACTTAAATGGTAAGCTGATGAACAGCCAGTTGGACGAATGTCCTCTAATCAGGGCATTGTGTTTTGGGTTTTAATTACCCGGCATCCTTTTTACCTAGCATTTATATACATAACCTCAAACTTAAAAACATAAAGGGATATGCTATAATCAATATATTTACTGATTTTCTTAATATTTTATATTCAGTTTTTTTAATTCAGATTCTGGTGCTAGAATTCAAAGAATCATTTTATTGGCAGCTGAAATAAAGGAAATAAGGAAAAACCTTAAGAAGCATTATGCAATTTCTCCAGACTGTACTTATACTGATCGTACAGTTGTGGATCATCAGGTAAGAGAAAAGAAACAGGGATGCATTCAGGTGTGTTTATTGGCTTGCTAGGACTGCTGGAACAAAGCACAGAATGAGTTGCTCAAGCAACAGAAATTTATTTTGATCCCAGTTCTGGAGAATAGAAGGTATTGTCAGGGTTGGTTTTTCTGAATGCTGGGAGGGAAGGACCCATGCCAGGTCTTTCTCCTGGGCTTCTAGATGGCTGTCTTCTTTCTGTATCTTCATATTATTTTTTCTTTGTATGTGTCTGTGTCCAAATTTCCTCTTTTTATAAAGACACTAGTGATATTGGATTAGGATCTACCCTAATGACCTCAATTTAATTGAATTACTTTGTAAAAACCCTACCTTTAAGTGTGGTCACACCTTGAGGTACTGGAAGTGAGGACTTTAACATAAGAGTTTTTGGAGGAACACAATTTAGCACATAAAAATGTTTGTAGTGTCTATACTGTGATATGGAATTTATAAAACACACAATGTACTTTATCTACATTGATCTTGAGACAATAGATGTTTGGAGTCTGGAGAAATTAAGATAATTCGTGTAAGTTCACAAAGCTATTAAAAGCAGCTCAAAGACTTGTGCCAAGGTATAATTCCAATATTTATGAAATTGCCTTTATTAATTGAAGTTATTTATAACTATTCCTTTATACAGACAGAAATACAAAAATTAAATGTGACATCCTTTTTTGTGAACGACAGGCTTGAGTAACAGCTTGCTAAAAGAACCTCAAAATTATATTTGTCTGCTGGAAATTCTTCCACCTCTTTTGGTTATATACCTTGTACCTAGTTCCTCAAACTAGAAACTGTGGAGTTGTGATTGTCTTACACTTTTTCTTCCTGCCACAGTTCATTCACAAACTTAACTCTAGAGCACAGATAGATACCCTAAGCAATGGGTGCTCATGAAATGATTGTTGGTTGACCTAATTGTTCATGTGGTAGTCAGAGAACTGTGGTTCTTACTTGTTTATGCTTTTTTCTTTACTTAAATTATGGGAAGGGGGAGAAGGAGAGGCAGAATAAGAGAGAGAGAGAAGGGGAGAAAAAAGAGAAGAGAAAGAGAAACAATAATAGTGACTGATAGAAATAGATAGAAATGTACAGAATCAGACACAGGACGTTTCAGAGAGAGAGAAAGGAAACAAGGAGAGA